CAGGTTACTGACCGGGGTTTCTCAGTCGGTTAACGCGTCGGGACTTAGACCCGAGAGGCCCCGGATTCGAAGCTCGATTTGGTCACTCGCCATTTTTATTTCTGAGGTTGATAAATGAGTACTAGTCTGTGGAAATTAAATAGGAGACTACCACGATGCGTAACGCATAGCTGTTGTCAATTCTGCCTTTAAAAGAAACGTGGCGCTTATAACTGATGTCGTGAAAATGTAGATTAGCTCCGCCATTTGCTTTATGGAAAGAAGAGCCGCAGAAATGGTCCCATAACTGAAATGTGAGGAAGACTGACATTCCAACGGTTGCCAACTTTCTTACATTCCTTTCCTTCACCGCCAAAAAGCGATGATCTTGTTGGGAGGATGAAGTCAGGAATTGAATGTGTCTAGAATTATTGACCTCAAGTAGATCGATCGAAAAGTTCACCCTTTAGGTGAACACATTTAAAAAAATAAAGTATTGTATGTGACTTGAGTTTGAACTTTGTTTTGCTCCTTATTGGTCTTATGGTGTTTCTCATTATTTCATTAAAAGTGTTTTAACTTGCTTTTATTTACTAGTCGGTTTTTTGTAGTATATGAAAGGCAAGAAGAACGTGCCTGCATATTATACTTAACGGTAACTGAAGTCAAAAGCTGGTTATGGCACTTAGGAGGTATGTATTGATGTCCTTTCATGTGATCGACTTATAGTGAATGACTTCATTTAAGCGAATAATTTAATGTGTCATTCAGCGACACAGCTAACTCACCCAGCTTTTGAGGTGCCTCTGATTATGTCACGCATTTTGCTGTTCGCACTTAGTACCGGCTATCAGAACATGTACAGCAGGTTTTAGCATGGTTTTCAGCAAGATCACGGGATATGCGTATAATAACGAAGCTACAAATAGGATATGTTACACAATGGGAATGATTAACTGAAAATTGATGGCAACATTATTAGGGTGTAAAACCTATTTATATATCCGGGATGACGCCAGTTGGGAGCAAATTTAGAATGGGCGAATATGTTTGATTTTCCGCTTTTAAATAATTGAAGGTGATGTTCTGGGATTCAATAGTACAGTTTGCTAAAGGTGCGGAAATGCTTTGTTGCCATTGCTGATTAGAGCAGTTGCGAGTTCCTTTAGTGAGAAATTGCTGAGGTGGTCAAGCACTTTGAAACAGACCGTCGAAATGATGCAGAAGTCTTACTTTTGACGAAAAGAGTGAAGGCAACGGAAGAGCACTAGTATAAACAGGAAATAACATTTAGTAACTTCTACCAGGAGACTTAAAACAAATTTTCAAAACGAGAAACGAGACTCCTAATTTTGCTAATATATGATAATATAAGCGCGTTCGCACGCTAGTTAGCGAATTTGAAATGTGAATACCACTATCCATAAGGGTAATCCGTCCATACCACGATGGACTGATGCTGATTTGCTTCTCAGTCTATTTTGTGTGTTAGCGCATTATTGCTAAGTGTCAGACTACTTCAGAGCTACTGTGAAAATTCGGTCTTGCAGAGATATGCTGAGGCTTAGCTGCGGGGATATTGACAACGATAACAACAGCGATTAACTGATCCTTCTTCTCCGTTAGCAAGCATCACCATTGCTTAATGTCAATCTCCACATTCGTCTGTTTCCTGCGATTTGTCACTAATATATTTCAAATCTCTTTTAGCTCATCGTCCCATCTGAACTGAGGTCTTTAAGTTGTGGTATTTGCAGCCCTTCTTCACTGCTGAAGCTTTTATTGCTATTTCCCTTGAGCAAGCGAGTTCATCACTATGCTTCGATGGAATGGACAACCTCCAAACGGTTATCGCGGGTTTGCTCATAGCGTTGTTAGTCAGTTTCGATGATCGCTTGTCTTTCGAGATTGCGGAGGTAGACGAATAAAGTATTGTTTCCAAAATTTTCGATACTATGCTAAGCTTCCATCGTTTGCGCCCTCATCGACTGGCTGCTGCTCTTCCCCACTGAGTGAAGATATTTTTCAGTTTCGCATCTTTAGCTCCCACTGGCGGTATCGTTCCCGCGGAGCCTTGTCTGATGCGCTATAAAACCATCACGCTGGCTGCCTCCTCCTTTCAGAATTGATAGGGGTTCCGTTGCTGATTGATTGGTACCTTTGTTATGTTCTTGTCGATATTCGGCAGCGACCGTCATTTTGCTGTATTCCCTGCTGACAGAGGGCATCAGTCAGGTTCCGGTCGCCTTATTTTTGTCGTCTTCCTTCGTTCCCCAACTGCTTGCTTGGCCGTTGGTAATCCGGGTTACAACTGAGCCAGTATAACGTTCGATAGCAAGTACGCCATGAACTCAGACAAGCAAGTGCTACGGGAGCCATACTACTATTCCCAGCTATACTCCTTTCTCATGCACGCTTGAGACCGACAATGTCTGAGTTGTATAGTTTTGTTTATATATGAGTTTTTAATTTTTATTTGTTCGTTTCCTGTTGTTTATTGCTTAATTTACACGTATTTTGTCTTGTTTCTGCGCCAAAAACCAAAATTCTTTCATTCTGTGCAGGCGGTAAATTTCAAATTGTATTAATAAGAGTCTGGTACCGTAAGTGTAATAACGTAACGTTTTTAGACTTTCGAAAGAGTTGGCCGAAATAACAAATGATCCACCTCCAAACTGCAGGTTTGTTTTAGCAAAGGTTTACATTTCAATCAATATCATGACGGCGTTAAGTTTTTTAGCGCTGGCCCGAAGGGCAACGATATGTACGAATGGGTAGGCACGATTTTGGGCCCTCCGAAATCCGTATACGAGGGCGGTATATTCTTTTTAGACATTCACTTTCCACAAGATTACCCTTTTAAGCCGCCGAAGGTATGCATCGCGTACGATTTATTGTTTTATAGAATAAAACTTTATAGATCATGTTCCAAACTCGCATATATCACTGCAATATAAACAAAAGCGGTACGATCTGCTTGGACATTCTGAAGGACAAATGGAGTCCAGCGCTAACAATTAGCAAAGTGTTATTGTCCATTTCGTCCTTGCTGACCGACTGTAATCCGCGTAAGTGTTGACCATCTTGTAGTAGTCGAAAGCTCGTTTGGTCCATCTGATCTTGCTGAGTAGCGACAGAACATCGGAAATGATCTAGATGCCTGAAATAGTGAGAAGCAGCATTCCTATTTCAAGCAGACGAGAGCGTGGTGAAATCATCCCGTTATGGCATATGCCTTATAGACGGAGAATGCTGGAGCACTGTGGACACAAACAGATGTCGCTTGATGGATCACAAAAAATTTAGTAGACAATAAAACCCTTTCGTTGCATAGGATATCGTCGTCCGTCTCAACCATCTATGGCATTAATGATTTGCCAGGCATGTAAAGGTGGAACGTAGAAGAACTATACAGAAACCGAAGTCTTGGACAACATGATCATTATATCAGACTCCGCTAGATGCGGAACGGCATAGTCTACGTAGAACGAAGAGAAAATCATTCTTTTTTAAAGCCCGCTATTCTGTTCGAGTTGTAGCTGTTTCAGAAAGTCATTGCGATTACGCCATTTAGCTGTTAAACAGACAAGTTCACTGAAATTGATTTCAAGACGCAAAAGTGTAGTCTTTTATGCATTCGAGCTTCTGGGCCCTCCGCCGTCTGCGCTTAGCCTGTCTTCCTCATAGCTTTGTCAAGAGAATTATCTGGATTGTTTTAGTTTTAAAATAGAGTTGGTCTTTGACGATATTTTTATTCTGCAAAATTTGGAACTGATGTAACTTTAAATTTATAATATATTGAATCATTTCAAATCTACATTTGTTTTTCATCTACGCCGTTATTAGTCCTGTCAGATACTCCCACACGTTGGTGTTGTTCGCCCTCTACAGCGGGAACGCTCAGGAAGATTTAGGAAAAGCAGTTTTAGAGTAACTCATACTAAGTGAGGGATGGAAGTGGTGCAGGAGCTCGCTGCGACACATTCAAACGATGAGAGATGTCCGCGAACAAAACCTCATTAAATATTCCACTGATGAATTCGATGGCTTTGAAGAAGGTTATAGATGACATCGTTTGTTGTTCACGAGGATTGGCATCTCGAGTGGACTGCAGAACAGCCACTCGTCAGAAACACTCAGAAAGTGCGATCACTGAATGATACAACGAACTCGCTTTCGTGGCGCGCCAACAATGAGAACAAGTCAAATGACAGATGAGGTTTAAACTTGATAAGTTTTAGAGTACTGATGATACTTTGTCTTATTCTGTGGTATTTCATTTTGGTTCTGTTCCAGAGCTCTGAATTTTATGCATTTCGTTTATTATTGAAAACAGCGAAACTTATCATGGCAGGGATTTATTTATCGTTTGAAGGAGCCATTCTTTTCTAGACAAGAATTAAGGCCATTCTTTGCATTTTGATAAAAAATAGTTTGAAATTACGCATCTTAGTTGATTCACTTTGTCCGGTTATGAGGATATAATTTATAATGGTTCAGTTGAGACAGTTTGTTAGTATTTAGTTCTAACGATTAATAAATTTTACCAAATAGTTATATATATAATCATAGGTAGCTAGTGACGCGTCAGCTCTTCCAAGACTAGATTTAACAGCGTTTTGCACCACTCTTTTCTCTCATTTGCTTTAGGACCCATTCAGGATTAGCTCCATCATGTTTGACCATCTGCAATCCCATATGCTGTCATAATTTTGTTCGCCACGGCAAATTCATAAGCTAGTTCTTCCTATGTACCAATGCATTAGCATGAAGATGAAGATGTTTTATATTTATGCGGTAAATATATAGGACATAACATATATCATAGTCTATAAGATGAGAAATTATTTTTTTAAAGCGTATTGGTATAATTTTGTAATGTGCGAGAAAACCGTCATACGTAGAATATATAATTCATCTTTGTAGTAATAGCATAAAGCGGATTTAATGGCAGAATGGCAATTTACATGTCTGCATCATGTTTTTGAACCGGAAATGGTTTATTTTATTAAGTATTGTCGCTGCACCGTGCTTTATGGGAAGCAGCTAAGGTAAACTAGCGGTGAGATGATTCTCTGAGTCGTGGAAAATTTTGGATGATAAAATATCTTGCTGGCGTTTCATGTTTTTCACCTTTACACATTATGTTGTTTTTGGGGAATAGGGCAAAATCCTTAAGTATCTAATTACGTAAATTTGTGCAGTCCCTGCTCGTAGGTTTCAAACACAAGAAATTGCCCGATGAATGTGGTGTTTTTTTTGATTTTATTATTCACCGCGGTTTTTTTAGTGCCCAGCTGAATTTTTCCACAGTTATTCGCTATTTCACATATTATAACCATAAATTTATAACTACCCTGTCTGCTCTTTCCGTTCAGAGTATGACTGAAAGCAGACAGGTCTTAATCGAGCCCAATCAGTGTCTGTGCACGTATAATGCGAAACTCACGCGTAGCTTGATGTTTAGCGACTGTTGCGTTTTAGAAGATCCGTTGGTTTCGCAAATCGCTGTCCAGTACTTAGAGAATCGCGAAGAACACGATCGAATCGCTCGGGCGTGGACAAAAGCGTATGCGACGTGAAATACGCTTAAATGAAAAACGTCGTCAATAACAAGATATGAGCAGAGAATTGGAACTTAAAATCACATCACACGTCGAACTCAAAATCTGACTGATCTCCTCTTCCGTGTATTTATACCTTCTGTGCTTTGAATTTTTAGTTAAAATTTCGGCATTTTTACTCATTCGTATTTCGTTCTGCACTGCCTTTTGACCAGCACTTTTAAGACTTGAGATGATTCATGTAATATAGAAAAGTTACAAAGAATTAATAATTAATGATAAATTTAAAAAATAAAGTACCTTATGTTTAATAATAGTGTTTATACACCATGGTACAGTGGTACTTAGGGCCTGGTCCCGACTGACCTTCCAGTCCTGTTTGGCCGAAGCACTACTATTCATGCATTTAATTCTTGACAGATTTTTCAGTTAGAGTACTTGTAAATGTTTAAGTCTGCCGATTGAGACGCTTTTATTACAGCGGGTGGTTCATGTTTTAGTCCGTTGATTCAAAATTACTCCACCTTTTATGACATTTGATATGTCTTATTCATATTTTCAGTAACACGGATCCTCAATCTCTACTCATGCTGTGTCCATTTGTTGACAATCAACGCTTCCAAAAAAATCCATTTAGCTTTGCTACTGTGATAGGTTTGCACTTGTAGCGATGTTAGCTGATTAGTTTTATGGTAAACTGGTGTTACGCAAGTCCTGATGTTTCTGTTACTTCTGTCAAGTTCCTTTGACTGGCTCCTGTCTTCTCATTGATCATTCATATTCATTCTTCCTTATTCTTTGAGTCCGTAATGTTTCACCAGTATATGTAGAGTTTCGGTTTAAATAGTTAATGATGTCGATTATATCCATGCCAATGCCCTATTGACCTGAATTTTTGTGCATCTGAAAGTAACGAGGATATTTTCTCAGTTTAGAATCGTTTTGGTGTCCTCTCAAGTACTTTTATCTAAATGAATGCAAATGACTGCAATTGGTACCAGAGTTCATCGTTGTTTGTGTTCTGACACGTTTTTATCTCTTGGTATATGCGTTGCACGTCAGTGTTTTTTCTCTCTCGGGGTTATACTGTTATGCTGTTTATTACATTGGCAGTCAGCTCTCAGGTTGGTCAGGGCGAACTTCTGTCGTAGAGGGCTCTACGATTCTGACATAATGGCCGCCGTGCATTTCGTCCGTGCCGGTATGAATACGCCAGAGCACCGTGCTGTCGCATACATGGATCGTACTCCGCCATGCTTTTCACTGAGCTATAAAGTATTTTGCTCCTTGTCTCTTTCGTACGGTGTAAATGCAATAAGGTATGCGTGTTTTGCTTTTGTAAGGTTCTCTCAGCTGTATTTGCATCCGTACTGTGCATAGCGAAAAGCAATAATTAAATTGCGGATTAAAATGCCAAGAACATGGAATTCATCTTCTCTAATAGCTACGATAGCACGGAACGGCAGTCTTCCATATTCGAAATTACAGTCTAGCAAGGCAGTGCAAGCTGGAGGCTGAATTTTTTCCAAAAAAGCATAAGATTTGAAACATGTGCACAAGGCTTAGATCCAGTATCTGTATTTGTTCTTAATCACGATCTTGTTATTAACAAGGAATCCTGATACAGCATCTTCCTCCTGCCTTGCTGACAGGAGATAAGGTTCTGAAGGATTTCATCAGTAAGCAATTCTGTGAATTTATTTATTACTCATGAAATGTACCGGATTTTAGTCACTTCTTAATTTTGCAAGTTCACTAAGGCTAATGCACTAATAAACTGTTGTTGTTTTGTCATCCTAACTAAAAGCTAACAGACGTTATACAGCAGAGTGAACCAGACTTATAACATCTAAGTTTTTACAGTGGTATCGCATTAACGTTAGGCAACCCTCACTGCTGGGCAAAGGTCCTGTTCCACCAAGTGTGCCTCAGTGAGGTGTTTCGCATTGTTCTTCAATGCGTCTGTGGATAGTTCGAGGCTCACACGGTAGAAGAATTTTTAAGATATTTACAATCTCTTTTTTTCAGTAAAATTATGCGCCGGCCTTTGAGCTCATTTGACAGTTTTCCCAGATCGGTGATCCTCATTATCTGTTCTATCATGACCCAGTTACACCACTGCACGTTGAGGATACTTCGTCCACAGCGTTGCTGAAAGCTCTCTGGACGAAACTCTTTACGCTTCATGACGTAAATGCTTCTCATTTAACATTGGTCAGTATTTAAAGCGGCAATGGTCTCACCATGACCGCCCAGTGAAATATTGCTTATAGCAAGGTGTGTACGGCCTGCTACCTACCTGAGGTCTATGGAATGCGCGCTGATCGTGGCAGCGAAACTATACTCTATGTTGCAAGCATGAACTTTTCTGTCAGACGCTTTCATTTTTCTACTGTTCTTGTTGTATATGATCAACCGAGTTCATTGCTGCAAATTACGCAATTTCTTCTACTGATAACTGTGTGACTTAAGTAAGTTGAAAAAAATTTTGAATTTTGTAGATTATTTTTGTGTTCATTTCTAGCAATAATTCACATCCTTCGAAGCAGTGTGCATTTAAAATATGACAGCGTAATACTCAGGTGAGCTTTATCGTTAACTTAGTCAGTGCCAAGATCTACATGAATCGGTTACAGCCTCACATTCTAATGCACTGTCGCGTCATAATGATATATTAACTTTATAAAATTAGTATTCTGAAGACGTTGGTCAGAAACGTCTATTCGTATTACGCTATGAACGTAAATAGTACAGTTATGGGTTTCTATCCAATTTGTGATTTTCTATGTTGCATACTGACTTCGTGTGATAAAATTAATCTTCACTTTCCCCTGCAGTCCGTCACATGCAGTAGTTGTGCGTCATATTAGGGATGCTCTTCACTGTTTGATAAGCACGATCCAGAAAGCTTGTTCAGCTCAGCCTGATTTTGGGTACCTTGGCTCAAGCTCAGCCATTCATGTATAGGAAATTTGTCATAATCTTTGTAGTTACATGGTTATGTTAAAATCAATGACAGTCATTGAGGTAAAAGCCTTATAACAAATAATGGATGCGATACCTCATAATCTGAGAAAGAGACAATGTGTGAGGAGGGGTGACGAATCAATGAAAAGACTATTTACCAGGCTCTATCACATATAACGAAAAGAACGAAACACTTCCGTTTCAATTCGCTGCATAGACGCCCATATTAATCAGCTGGTAAATAGTCAAGAAGTTCGAAACTATAACAAGGAATGTACAAACGGGCAGCAAAAGTAATTGTTTAACAATATAACAACAAAACATTTTTACATCGCCAGATTCTTCTTTCAGGAAGAAGGAGAGACGGTGTCTATTGAGATTAAAACTTTTCCTGTAGTAGCTGGACTGTTCTGCTACGCACACCAAGCTTTTGCGGCCATAAAATGAGCAAGAAAATCAAACCAATGATCAAAGAACCTCCGGGGAAAAAGGCGATAACGTATCGATAAAAGTCTGCCTTGCCAGCTTCTTGTTTCCTAAAGTTTCATGGATGCAACGAATACTACAACAACAAAAAACGTGTCTCCTACACTTGAGTTTCGAAGTATTGAATCAGCTGTACAGCGACGCCAGAAGACACTTTGTCGAAAAAGCTCATCGCTCCAAACACGAAAGCGCTGCTTTCCTGGAAAAGAAACGATTTCAGAAGCCGGCCGTGTAATAACAAGCATGGTAACAAAAGCCCAAAGGTTGAAATTTACATAGACATTCGATCGACCTCAAGATACAGTCAGTGTTATTACTCAAAATCTAAGAATATGTTTGAAGCACATCTTTTGGAGAGCTCAAATCAATTTAAATTGCTAAATTAGTCGTCCATGACACTGATTAACAATCGCATATTGTGATAATGGATACAGGCCAATGTATGCAAGAGCAAATATTTATGAATTTTCAACATATAATCTCAAGTGGTCGTCAAATGTCTTGTCTCCAGGAAGTGAGTGAGAGTTCCTCATAAAAAACGTGTTTTGCAGTAAATTTCCTCGTCTGTCAAAATCTACTGAGCGGCATAGACAAAGGATCATTAGCACGGATAATTAACGAGATGCGTGCGCTGAACGTGATGCCGTTGCATCTGTCTATCCTTTACTGTTCGAAGCTGTGCTTTGTCTAACAGTATTGAAAAGTTGGAAAGAGATAGTCAGCATAGAGCTACATACAGAGCAGCAACACTTTTAGAATGAAAAGGAGAGAAAGAGGGTGAGGAAAAAAATACGAAAAAGACTATTCTGTCCAAAGATCTTATCAAACCATAAGCCACTGTACTGCGTTCGGAATGGTCAAGGGTGGTGGACGTAATTGCGACATTTTTCTACGTTTGTGTAATGTCACCTTCACAAAATGATTGATTGATTTCTTCATCTACTAGTTGTGGAAAAGGAAGAATTATAGACATATACCGTATCTTGTATCAACATGATCTAGGGGAATGCATAATCACAGGGGATAAATACAAGCCTCTGACTTCACTGGTTACACTTTCCACCATGCCTTTGTTTGAAACGTCACATCTGGCCTTTTAGAACCTTCCATTTGGCCACAAGCAAATAATCATGGATCCTGTAAGGATTTCTTGAATTCAGTGAGACAGGTATCAGCAGACTAATTTTTTGGTGAACCAGCAGGTGCGAATCATTAGATTAATGATTGGGACTTATCCCGATGTTCGCCAGCATATCAGTCAGGGTAAAGATGCC